AGAGTAAACTTTTTTAAACAACACCAGGTGGTTTCGAGCTTTTCACAACACTCTTTCATTAAGTTCATTCATCCATTTTACGATAGGTCCGAGAAGCAGTTGTTGTTGCTGTTCTGATGATTTTGTTGGTTTTTACGGGATAAGACCCATCATGAAATGGATGAAGCTTAATGAAAGAGTGTTGTGAAAAGCTCGAAACCACCTGGTGTTGTTTAAAAAAGTTTACTCTGTAGAACTGAGTTGTATTCAAAAGTTTTCGCTTGAACTCAGGGACTTGGTTTCCTGCAGTTCTGATTTTCTGAATATTCCATATTAGTAAGTTTTAATGAAACTTGCATAAAACACTTACTTCTAATTGAAAACTCTTCTAGCTGTTGAAATCATTTCTCGCACTCGTTCTTGTTACGACAAACCAAACACATTAAAAACAACTCGTTTCTATAATTCTGCACAGGTGTCCATAGTAAAAATGAGGCATTCTCATGATTTCACACACACATATGCTTGGCTGGAAAAATATTGCAAGAAATATTTCAAAACTACATCATTCGATGCCATTTTTCGTACTGATCCCGATTATCACTTTATCTTACATTAAAAGCGTTCCTGCGTCGATAGCAGTGGATTTTTCCTAAACAACTTGGGTTTTTTCGAAGCCCTACGATGTCAGCCAGGAAAACATTTCCATTAAGTTGCATGCACTATGGGTGTGTTGTATATAGACGAACGCTCTGGCAATGTTTGGTGAGGTACCGAGCTTCAGAAACTTCTTATATTGATTGCATATCTACGAAAACTTAGCTAGCCTGGAAAATAAATTTGTTTCTCCGACACTGTACGTCCAAAGTGGGACATTTTTTCGTTAGTTTAGCCAAAAAGGAGCCGAGATTCATAGTCTATGCCGTTTTTTTGGACTTGGTAGGCTTTAATGGAAAACTTCTTTATCGCACCAATTTGTTTTCAGGCTTCTCGTAATCATTTGAGCGAACAACGGTATAGCAGCAATGCATTATAACGATATAACCCTATCAGAATCAATCGTGCAAGAAACTAATGGCCTATACCGTCATTTTTTTACTGTTGAAAATTACACACAACTTTCTTCTTTTGAAGTGAACGTCAGAGAATAAAATAAAGAAAAAATTCAAAAATCCAGCTTCGCTAACATAACTTGATATTTTAAAACCAACTCGAGTCTGCTAACTTCTTTTTGGAAATATAAATCTGTCGTCAGTAGATGTCTCATTTTGACTCTTATTGGGGTGATATCTATGAACGAAAGTAGGTACTTTTTAAGGCAACTATTTCGACATCGTCAACATTCTGTGAAGTCTGCTCCAGATCCCATTCATGGTTACTGCGATAGGTTTCTGATCCAGAGTGGTTTTAATTCATTAAAATTCCGTTTTAGATAATAACGCAGGAAGACTGGAATGAAATTTTGCATAATGGCATGACTTATACATCATCATGGTCGTCAATCTACTTCATTTTACTTATGATATTTGGAAACTATATTTTACTCAATTTACTAGTAGCAATTTTCATTGATGGTTGTTCAGTTAAAGTAAGAAAAAAACAATCACCAATGATTCCTTGCCAGATCGTGTTAAGCTGAATTAGCAAATTATTTTACAACTTTTCGCGTTCTAGAGAGATCAGTTGAACTGTCTGTTGTAGGTTGAAGAAACAAAAACGATAAATAAATTAGCTATGTCAATTGGACGACCATCAATTACTCATAATATGGCTATTACACATGAACACTCGGGTACACTTTAATTTTTGTGTTAATTACACATTTACATTTAATTTCATTATGTTTTTAGATGTTGAAGACGTTACAAAATCGGAACAAACCCATTTTTTAGAAAATTTATCAAATATAGTAAGAATCAAACTTTCTTTCAAATTTCGATTTTACAGTTATGTTCTTCTAGAATAGTCGATTGTCAGATGAACAAGCACATGTATCTTTTAGAGAGCGAAGAAAAGATTATTTATTCTATGTATTGTCAGAGGAAAATAGGTAAAATATTTTTCTATAAGATATATATCTAAATAACCGAGATTATATTTAAGATTTCGAAAAATCTGTCACATAATTGCCACTCATAAAATTTTTGATTATATTATTTTGACTACTATTATTTTGAATTCAATTACACTTGCTATGGAACGACCGAGTATTCAAGAGGACAGTATAGTGAGTATTAAACAGTATCTACTTTTTCTTCAGCTTCTATTGCAGCTGGTAGTATTTTTGTGAAAAAAATCTATGATTTTTTTATACAGATCCTAAGTTTATGATTTTTTTTAAAAGTTTAGGAACGTTTAATATTACGATATACAAATTATGTGTTCACAGGTGTATTTGGTATTGAAATGATAATAAAAGTAAGTCTATTACTTACTTTTTATTTTAAACACTAGTGTATCACGTTGTCACTATATAGATTATTGATCAAGGTTTATTGTTTGGTTCTAATGCTTATTTAAAACATGGCTGGAATGTTCTAGATGGCTTTATTGTCATTGTTTCCATAGTTGATATTATTTTAACATCTCTTATTCAAGAGAAGTCTGCTAAAATAGCTTCACAATTAAGAGTGCTCAGAGTTCTTAGAACATTGAGAGCATTAAGGTAAATTGACAAAATCTTTAAAATTAAGGTGCAGGAAATTCGAAAATTTAGTGGGCTTTTATTTTTGCTTTTGTATACATAGTTGGATATAGTTCGTCGATCTGGAGAAGAAAGTATGTGTTTTAATATTTGACAAATTTTTTTCATGTCGAAAGACTGAAAAAATTCGAAAGAGCTAAAATTTCGAAAACCCTTTCAAAAATATTCAGATTTTTCTCTTTTTCCTTCTTCAAACTTTTCGAAACTAATTTTTCCCGATTCAGCATTAAAAACTGAGTACGAAAATGATGCTTGATCAAGGCTAAAGTCAAAGGTCTATCCAGTACGGATGTCTCGGACTCTCTCTGTAAAAAGTACATAACAAGCTCTTTTTGTGAAGAGATGACGCTGAATTTTTTACTTCCTTAGAACGATCACTGAAAGCACTTTAAAAAGTATAAATCGCTCTTTTTCTACTTGTGTTTTATGACTGAAAAAATTCATTTTTTCTGGATCAGGAGAGAAAAAATCGGAATTGTGTTCGTAATTCGCAATTTTCTCCACAACTCATTTTTATACAATAAAAATATCATATTCGAAATCAGAGTCAAAAACTGAGTCGAATGATATATATATTAAGATTTTTCATTTATTTTTATTTTTTATGAAAGTAAAAAAACCTCAATATAGTCAGTCAGACAGAAAGAAAAAAATTTAAAGTTTTCTGAAACTGGAAAGGTTTTCCGAAATTTTAGACCCTTCGAACCTTTTCAATCTTTCGACATGAAAAAAACATTTTTCAAACATTAAAACACACTTCTTCTTCAGATCGACGAACTCTCTATTCAACTATGTATAAAAATGAAAAAATAATAAACCGCTGAATTTTTCTATAGCTTATATGAAAAAAAATCTATTTTATTTTCAAGGGTTATTGAACGAGCACAAGGATTACGATTAGTTGTACATTCGTTAGTAATGTCACTAAAAGATATAAAAAATATTGTGCTACTCTACTGTCTGTTTTTTATCATGTTTGGAATTTTGGGAGTGAATGTAAGTATTAAAAGCAAGGGAAATTACTCATTAACAACAATATCGTCTATAGTGGTTTATTTTTAGTTATTTAAAGGTAAGTTATATCACTGCGATGGTCCACTATCTTCAAATGTTACAACAAGACAGGAATGCGAACAATTACCCGATCATAGATGGAAAAATGAACAGTTTAATTTTGATAATATTATACAGGTGTAACTTTGTTTTGTACATCTTATACGTAAGTTTCATTTTAATTTTTAAATATTTGTTCTTTGTGATAGGCCATTTTAACCTTATTTGTAATATCAACAAAAGATGGCTGGGTTAAAGTAATGTATTATTCGATTGATGGAGTAGATGTTGATAGACAACCAATTGAGAATTATAGTAAAATTAAAGCATTGTACTTTGTGGCATTTATATCACTAGTTGGATATATTGTGCTTAACATGTTTGTTGGGATTATTGTTGATAATTTTCAAAAATGTAAAGAACAAATACAACAAACACAAACAACAAACGAAAAAAAGGACGAAAAACAGATAAAAAAGAAGCGTAAACATCTCGATTTTATAATTGATTGTGGTGAACAAAATAAAAACACAGGTTAAATTTTAATTATTTTAGGATCTCGTCTACCCCAATCAGCATGGCGTCGCAAAGTTCATAGTCTATGTATAAATCCTTATTTTTGAACTATTAGCTTATTGCATGATCGTGTCAGATGTGGGTCTTCCCGTTACAATGTATCGCTACTCAACCGTCGTTTGCTCAAATTTTAGCAAAACTGTCTCCCGTTTAGAATCACAAGATACATAAATAGTTTATTTGATTTGGTGATCGCTGTTTTCATATTTGTTAACCTTTTTACATTATCACTAGACCATTACATGATGTCTTTGGTATGAAAATACGTTTATCAATTATGTTTTATTCAGGATATGATATCGTGTTATAGGCGTTTCGAAAAGTGTTAGACTACTTAAATTATGTATTTACAACAATATTTGTATTGGAAGTAATCATAAAAATTATCGGATATGGATCACATGATTATGTTACAGATAAGTACGAACTTGATACAGAAAATATGCGAAGTACGAACTTTAAAATATTTATTAGGAGTAGAAGGTCTACGCCTATTTATGACATTCAATGTGCGCGATGTGGGAGGAGGGGGAGTGCTTATCCCCTTTTTTCACTTTGTTGGTGCAGGTGGATGTGTGGATCTGATCAAATCTAAAGTATCAGTACAGATAAAACAAAAAAGAAAATTGATGTATTTTTTTTGCTTAGAATTTTCTGTTAGATTCTTATACGGCTTTTCTGAAGATTCCAATTTGAATCCAGTCACATTTCGAGAAAAAGAATATTTTTAGAAAAGAAACTTGAAAAATAACCTGCGATAGGGTGTAAAGTATCTGAAGTAAAACTTTGGACTTCGAGAGGGCGTAACGTGACTGGATTGGAACCTCCAGTGTTTATCGCATTACTGCTAACATTAAACAAGTCACTTTTTGCTGGAATTTGCGGCTACTCCACGCGCTCCATGAAATCATTAGAAAATTTCAAAAGTGGTGTCATTATGATGAGAACTCTTTGCTCTATCAGCCTACGTATAAGAAAAGTTTGGAAAGCACTGCAAATAAAAGAAAAATTGATGTTTTTCATGCTGTTGAGTAAAAATATAAAAAGATCGTGGAACTGTGCGAGTGCTCTGACTTTGTAATCTAGACTTTCCTCTACATGTTCAGTTCAAAAATAAAATATTTTTCAAAAAAGAGGCGAAATGAGTACCCTTAAACTTAGTTTATAATCAACGTATATTATTCTATCATCAATACAGAGCTATTTAAAAGTTTGTATTGTAAATAAAACTTGTTGTATTGCAGGTGGAATTTATTGGATGTTGCAATTGTGTTCATAGCTGTAGCCGATATAAACATGGAATTATTTATTAATGTACATCTACCTATCAATCCTACTCTTATTCGAATTATGAGAATAGCTAGAATCGCTCGAGGTATGCGAAAGACAGAAAACTGAATTATTATTGTGAATTTAAATATACACTTTTGTTTTAGTGTTAAAATTATTAAAATCAGCCAATGGTATTCGTACACTATTAGACACAATTGGACGAGCCCTCTTACAAGTGGGAAATTTGTCATTTTTATTTGTTCTACAATTTTTCATGTTTGGTGTGATTGGTGTACAATTATTTGGAGATTTAGGTACGACATAATATATGAAACTGTACACATCATGTGAAATTCGTTCAAAATTTTTCGAACCAAATAGGTTTAAAAGTTTTTTGTAAACGGAAGAAGAATATTAGACACTGTTTAACTCTATAAAATCATACGTAAATGTCTCATAGTCTATTTTTAGATTGTAGTTTTGATAATCCTTGCGAGGCTTTAGATATTCATGCCAATTTCAAGAATATTGGAATGGCATGTCTTACTCTGTTTCGAATTGGTAGTGGAGATAATTGGAATAGTATATTGAAGGTAAATTTACTATATCAATTGTTCACTCTTGAGCTGGCGGTTTTGTCTTTTACGTATCACAGGATGCCATAAATCCTAAGACGTGTCCAACATGTTCAAAATATTTGCCTCTCATTGGTTCTATGTACTTTGTTGTGTTTGTATTAACTGCTCAATTTATCTTGTTAAATGTGCTCGTGGCTGTTATACTCAAGCATTTAGAAGTAAAATAACGAGAAGAATGTTTCTGATATCTAGACTATACTCGTGAATATATTCTATTTTAGGAAGCAACTACCCTGGGAAACATTGTCGAAGAGAATACCGAAGAGCAACAACCGCCTGATGAACCTCACTTAAATGATGAGATTGATATAGAATTGAAGGAAATACCCCCATTTCAACATTTACAGGCAGCTCCTGCTTTGACCACCACCACTTCTCAACCAGATTTAAGTTCATTATCGTTGAATGATAAAACAAAATCTGTTAAAACATTTATTGAAAATTTAAATCATACGTTTGTGTAAACAGAATATATTTTCAAGAAAAATACAAGCTGGATGATGCTGTCCTCAAGTATCTTGCTGACAGTGCATAAATGGTGCAGTTATGACCCATGTTTTTATTTGATCTTACAAATATTTTGAGAATCTTTGTTATTTTGTAAAAATGTTACCGATCAAAGATGTTTATTAATTCTTGACTGTCGTGACGCTTTTACTTTAAATTATAAATTTATTTAAAGTGAAAGTGATAGAAAAAATAAAAAATATACAATCTTTTTATCTCAGCTCTATTTAATAAATGAATGAGGTTTACTTTGGGTACAAATATTCGAATTACGATCGAGCGAATAACAGCATGACCAATGTTGTTTACCAATCGATAGTTGCTTACCCAAATTAATACCACATATCAAATAGGAACAATCACTGACTTTTGCATGCCATGTACCGGTATGCGTGCAACCACCACCAGAGTTATCATCAATAGAAAATTGACGTCCACATTTATGGCAGAGATAAGAGGATGCCAATGGTGGCGATAAATGATCCTGATTAAAAGAAAGGGTATGTGTCATTCGAACTGATGTTAATTTATCCGTAATATGTATATTAATAATATATTATTAACGTTCAAAATAGATGTTTTAGTTGTGTTGCCACTAATGAAGGCAAAGTATCTTTAGAGATACTTTCTCTCCGTTATTGAGGATCATAAAATTACTTTTTAATTTTAATAGAAAAAAATTAAGATTTTTCGCACAAAAAAGAATCTATTTTCTCAAGAAGATATAATTTTTAGAAGATCAAAATGGTGCATTGAAATACGACATTGTTTTTTCATTGAGAACCACATGTTTATCGAGTAACATGTACGACTTGATATATGAATATTCTTACTGTAGTAAGACTTCTATGTTGTGACATAACTTCTTGCAATGAAACGAGTTTTTGAATAAACACGAATACGGAGATCGGGGCGCACAGAAAGTTTCGGTTCAAGCAAAAAGTTAAAATTATTGACTTTTTTCAAAATCCTCCAAAATCGAGTATCAATTCGTTTTTTTATTCTGGCAGTACGGAAATATTCATAAAAGCACACCAATCGACACAGAATTTCAAGCTGAATCGACTGATATAATTTAAGGATACTTTTGAAGCTGTTCAAGTAGAAAAAGTCC